ATATTGCTAGTAAAAATGACTGCCAAATTGCTTTGTCATATGAGATTTTCTAAGCATCTTGCTCGTGTTTCAGACCACCGCTGCCTAGCCTCAGTCGTGGAGCCACAAGTGTAAAGAATAGTTACACTTTCTCTTTGAATGTCCTGTATCTTCTGTGCTGATCTTTTAATAGACTGTCTGGAAGTTGATGTAGGCCTTTTGGGATGTGCGATGATACATACAGATACACAAATATATAATGCATGCGTATATGCAAATAATGATGTTGACCGTTTGCTTGTCGAGGGAATAATAGACGTGAAGACCTCTTAAATCTTTGCCTTCTACTCATAAATATTGTTAGTATCTAATACTATCAGATATAGAACTTCCATTATAGAGGATAAACTCAGTTGAGCAGGAGCTCTGATAATACACACATCATAAAAGATGGTTTATTTTAACCAGGTCATCAGAGTACCCTTGCTGACTTTTTGATGGGTTGTAGAGTTGGTTTTGTAAAACGGATTTTGTTTTCTGTGATAGTATTTGATATAACAGAACCTACTTGTAATGGACTATGAGCCAGTGGTAAAACAGAGAATTTGTCTAGAAGCTAAATAGATTTACAATAATTTAGGTCAAAACGAACCTTAGAGGTCATGTGCACCACTCACTCCATTTGACCTCTGTCACGCTAAAACACAGAGATACTAGAAATTTCTTAATGTCAGCTGGCTAATTATGGCAGAGCCAGACTAGACTCAGGACTTGCGATCTCCTTATCACTGTGTTTTCCCTTAAATCATGTTTTATATTGGCCACAATAGAACTTTCTGTTCTGTGACTTTAAACTTCTTGAACTTTGGGGCCGGCCGAATGGCGCGTTGGTTAACAGTTGCTTGGGACGCCAGCTCTGAGCAACAGGGCCCTGGGAAGAGCGCAATGATAATACCAACATGGGCCAGTGAAGTGATATCCTCCACAACTAGACTAAAGAACAAAAGCACAGCAAGTTGCCTGTTCCCCTTCCCCAATGCTGTTTCGCTCCCCCAATTCCCCAATAAGATCTTAAAAAAAAAAATTTTCTTGAATTTTGTACCTGTCTTGTGTATAAGTCATTGTAGTTTATTAGATAATCAAGATACGTGAGTTGTTGACCTACCTTTTCCAGTGTCTTGCTAATTTGTGTGTTTTTGTATTTGTATTTGTTCCTCATTTACATTTTTCTACTTTAGTTTTTTTATCTGTAAAATTAGGGTGTATGTGACCTGCTTTGCTTTTCCTCATAAACTTGTGAAATAGTTTCAGATTTTCTTTGCTGGAGGTAATTGTTTTAGTGCATAGAATTGTATAGTAGCTTTGTAAGGGATCTTATATATAATCTAGCCTCTCATTTTGTCTATGAGGAAACTGAAGCTGTTTCCTTATGACGAGTCGGTTGCCTGAAATGTCATTGACTTTTCAATGTTAACCTGCAGCTGGAAAGCAGACTTCTCTGTCTAGGGTTGCATCGTGTTGAGCTTGATCAAATAAGAGTTTTTGGAGACACAAACCTAGACTTGAGTTGTGGCTTCCCCACTGGCAGTGTGTAACTTTGGAAAGTTACCTTAATCTCTCCAGTCTTGGATTTGCTTTTCTGTAAACTAATCTGCCTAAAATTGATATTATTTATAAGAAACTTTATTAACACTTTGTAAGCGGGCATTTTTCTCTATACCTGAGTTAACTCGTCTCCCGCGCTTTGGTATAAAAAGCGCTATGACGAGTTTACTCGTTTCCCGCAAACAGTGTGTTAAGTGCATTAATGAATAATAATTTGCTTGCTTAAAAATGTAATAGAACTTCAAGGAAATAATTCTGTTGGCACATGTCCATTTAAAAATCTTTTTTTGAGAACCAATGTTTTTGTTGTTTTTTTCTGGTAAAGTCTCTGGGAGCTGCTGAGCCTCAGAGGCACTGTTTTACTTAATGGATCTTCACCAACATTTCAGTAATAATCAGTGGTGATGATATTTGTTGGTGATTCAGTTGCCTTTTTTATACTCTAATGAATTTAAAAATAATACATACAGTGAGGATGCGTAATGAGGTTTGAGGAATGTGAATTTTATTTAGTAACTATTGGAATTGGTCCAGTCGGTTTAACTGGATCAGTCTCATTTATACTAATGTGGGAAGTGAAATGGTTATTAGATCTCCAAAAGTTCTTTTAGCTCTGACATTCTCTAGTGTAACACCAACTGTAAAGATTTGGAGGATAGAATTTCTCTAAACGTATGCCAGGCTGTTTTGGCTGATGGAGAGGTTCCTGGCCTCTGTCCATAGTGCACTATTGGTAGTTCTGTTTTTGTTTGACAGGGTCACCAGCCGTGTGTCAGCATATGTATTATCTTCCACCATTTTTGGTAGGGTATAAGGTAGGACTCTCAAGCATTATACATTACTTGAAAGGAGTTCTCATGTCATCATACTTCATAATAATAACAGTTTTTATATTGAGTGCTTCCTATGTGCCTTCCTATGTGACTTGTTTCATCTAATTATGGCCTTATTTGTTTCTTTGTAAAGGAAGAGGAGAAAGCTTAAAGGAGTTCAGTATTTGTCCAAAGTCACACACAGCTAAAGAATGTTAAAGTCAAGATTAAATCCAAGTCATTCTGACACCATAGTTTATGTGATCTTACCTTTTAATAGATTGGTTTTCATGGTCCACTTCACACTGAAGAAATGTGAGAATTTTCAAAATTGAACTTAAAGGAGCCCCCTTAATTTCATCCCGTAAAAGGACAATGAACTCTCCAGGTTTTTCAGTTCCAAATTTCTATAGTAATTAGATTTCAAAGAGCACCTAGTAGAACGGAGAGTGCTTCATGCGTGTGTATATGCAAAGGGAATGTGTTCCTGGCACCCCGCTACTTTCTGATTCATTTAATGCAATTGCAGTTGGTTTAGGAAAATTGTAGATTAATTTGTAAAATAATTTTTACATTTTTGTACTCTTTATTGGATTTGGTGTCTTTCAATATTATTGCCTTCTACCTAGCCTTTAATTTGGTACTTTTTATTGTTATTTTTTAAGGTCAGCCAAGTTCTTCAGTCTTAGGGAAAGAAAGAAGTAAACTATAGTTTCCTGATTTGCTAGCTGTTTAATTACCACCATTTTACATTAAGTCACTGTGATGCTCTGGTTTAGATTTTGTGATCCCTAAGCCCTGAAAATCTTCCATTAAGAATTTGAATTAATTTTATTTAAAAGTTGTTTTCATTTCTCTTTCTAGTGCTCTGTCCAGTTTGGCAGCCTATAGACATATGTGTGCACTTGAAATGTGGCTAGTCTAAATTGAGATGTAGCTGTAAAATATACTTACATTTTTGGAGAGTTAGTTTGAAAAGAAAGAATGTAAAATATCCCAATTTTTATATTGATTACGTGTTGAAATAATATTTTGGATCTCTTGGTTAAATAAAAATATTATTAAAACGAGTTTCACTTTTTGCTGGTTTTTCTTTCTTTTTTTTTTTTTTTTAAGCTAAGCCATCCTGCCACCTGTTGGCAACTCAGCAGCAGCTCAGCTCAGGCCAGGAATCAAACTGGAGACCCTGTTGCTCAGAGCTTGCACTCTTGAGCGAGCTCTTAAACATTTTTGCTGTTTTTAATGAGGTTACTAGAAAGTTTTAAATTACATATGTGGCTTGCATTTGTGGGTCATATTATGTTTCTATCAGGCAGTGCCAGTATGTGTGAACAGTAACAGCAAATGAATTCTATAGTATAAGAATTTACCAAGAATTAATTAAACCTGGCATATCTATATGTGCTTTGTTAATTTTTTTCTTCTTCTAAAGACTAAAACTCACCTAATTAGGTAGTTAATTTAATAAAAATGGTCATTTAAATACTTGGACCTGTGTTGCTGGGGCTTGAGGGAAATCTGTTGATTGAATAACAAAGTGGGTATATAAGCCTCTTATGACACCCCACCTCCACCAGGGGTACAGCTGTGGCTAGGGTTGGTGTGATTTAGAGCTTTCATTAGGATAATAGGTGAAAGAAGTAGAAACTATTGAAAATATTAGCTTAATGTGATAATAGTAAATGCCAGTCATAACTAGTGAGTCAAAAATTTCTTTTTATGGGAAAGCATAAAGTACATCGATTCTTGTTTTAAGCTATTTTTCTGTAGTTTTAAGAATAAAATATTTTGAAACAAAATTAAGAAGACAGTGTTTTTTGAATTATTGCAGTGTTTTTTTCTGTATTGGTGAACTTTGTTTTTTGGTTTTGCAAAAGTAGGAAACTGAATAAGATTATTTTAACTTTACTTATATTTTCTTAAAATTCAAATCTGTTTTATAGGAGTGAAGTCTATTAATAAAACCTTACAGTGAGTCTGCTCATAGTATGAGCAGTTTATCTGACAACTATTATATTACAATAAGTCCTCACTTAATGTCATCAATAGGTTCTGTGACTTTCAGCAAAATGACATATAACAAAACCAATTTTACCACAGGCTAATTGATACAAGCAAGAGTTAAGTTCCTATGGCATCTCATCAACTTAATAAAGAAATGGCCTTATTTGAGGACCTGCTATATTCTAAAGGAGCTGCAGGATTGAAGTCTCTGTAAACTGATCCATAAATGACTTTATAGTTGTGAAGTTTTAAAAACATAAGGTACCAATATCATGTTGCTAAATGTAGTCAGAATTTAAAAATATTTGCACCATTATGAGTATTTGATTCATTACTTAAGGTCCCTATTTGCTCTTCTAAGCATCTCTTAGCAGTTTTTGTGTTGGTGGCTGTCAAGCAGCCAAGGGAGGAGGACATGCTAAGTCAAAAAACTTTGTCATCTTGTGATTTACCTCCCAGCTTCGTTTTCTGGCAGCACAGCCCAGGAGAAAGTGAACCAGTGATAATGTTCTTTGAATGACCTGTTTAAGGGATTATTTAGCTAGGGCTCTACCTTCTTATATATAAAGTTCTTAATATATTTTAATACTGATTTTACAGATCCTTCTGCTGAGGAATTGAGAAAGCTAATGATGTTGCATGGAGGCCAATACCATGTGTATTATTCCAGATCCAAAACAACACACATTATTGCCACAAATCTTCCTACTGCCAAAATTAAAGAGTTAAAGGGGGAAAAAGTAATTCGGCCAGAATGGATTGTGGAAAGGTAAGTTTAATTTTTAATTAAAAAGTTCTAAAAATTGGAATACATTTTATTTCTATTACAGATATTTATGTTGCCTCTTACCTTAAGAGTGAAAAGTAATTAATTTTTTAAACAACACTAACATACTGTTTTACCTCACACTAGTAATTCAGGTTGCCTAGGATTTGATGTCCTATTGAAAGTATAGAGTTTGTGAGCATAATTTGTTCCGGAAACAAACTACTCATATTGCAAGTCATCGCTTGTTTACTTTACCACGTTAAAATGTATTAGAAATGTTTGCTCGTCTTGCAGAACACTTGCAAACCACGTTACTTGCAGTCTAAAGTTTTACTGTCGTATGTTAGTGTTCTTGGGACCTCTGCTACCAGGAGTTAAGGGTGATGACTCAAGTAAGCAGCGGGAAGCACTGATGGAGGGGAGCTGATTAAGCAAGTTATCCATTCGGCAAATATTTGTGCACCTATTATGGGCTAGGTACTTGGGAAGTACCAGCGAACAAAGCAGATCTCTCCCCCATCTCTTGGAGCTTACGTTCTACTGGGGGGAAACAGATGCTGAACAATATGCTTAATATATGAGTAAACTACATCACATGTTAAGAGTTAATACATGCTAAGGGGGAAAAAAGAAGATCACGGTAATGTGGCCTGGAGTACTGAGAGTGGGGGCAAAGAGGAAGAACAATTTACAGTATTATTAATATATGTTTTTTAGTTATTATATTATGGTTTTTCTGCTGTTGATTTGGAATTGATATGTTGTAAATCAGTGGTGGCCATTCATAGTAATCCCCTAAATTTATATGTCATCTGGAACATTGGATATGAGCCTTAACTTAAGTGACTTATATTTTGAAATGGTATGTTACATGTATGAATGATTGCTAGATTTATAAATGTTGGAAGTGAAAATATTAAAATCATAATTTTATGTATGAATAGATTGTAATCATTGTATGAAAGGATGGTCAGATTGTATAATGGAGTGCTAATGAAACAAACTTCAAAATTTTTTTTTTTAGTCAATTTCAAGTGTTTTTAAAATCCTAAGTTCCGCTAACTCTGACACTTTCTGTTAATTTATTCAGCGGATTTAGTACTGCTCAGTTCCTTTGCATAGCAGGTATAGCAGCCCAGACTCAGTGGGAGGCAGCAGAGCAGTGGGTGGGCTGTGCTTGGGTTCTGGGGACACGTGGGTTTGCATCAGAACCCAGAAATTGAATAACTTTGGGAAGAGTTCTGCAGTCATCCTGAACTTCGTCTCTTCATTTGTAAAGTAAGGCTAATATCTACCTGCTATGGCTATGTGAGAACTGAAAATAATTTGTGCAAAGTAGCACAACGCCTGGTACGTTGCAGAGGTGTATATATAAGAAGTAATTGCTGTTATTTTTATTCTATAAACATTAGCAAGTATTAAAAAATAAATTCCAAAAGTACATTTTAAACGAAGTTCATTTGACTTCCAGAAAGCCAAATGGATTTTATAGATTAAGGTTCTTTACACCTTGGGGGATTAAGTTGAAGGCCTATCCCTAGAGCATCTCACTGATTCCTTGTGCTTTGTCTCATGACCTAGCCACTGTCCATTCATTCTATAGGACCAGTGAGCACAGCCTTTAGCTGTGTGTTTCCTTTAAAAGAAACTAGGACGTTTTCAGTATAAGAATGATCCATTCTAGAGTAAGCTGTGTGTTGTCACATATAGACAGACGTTCCAGTCCTGTCCTTGTGCTAGGGCTAGAATTTGGATCTACGGGTGTTAGTCTGCCTTTGAAGGGAATAGGGTGATCCATGGACAGTAGGAAAATGGGGGTAAAGAGGACTCTTGCTGGGTAGGACTTGATTTGCTTAGAAAATGTGGATTTCTTACAGCTGTTTTCTTTACACCTATTCTTCCTTCTTCCCCTGAGTGCAACTAGAGAAATAATGCAATAGAGAAAACAACTGCAGCAGTTACAGGTTTTAAAATTTACCTTAACAGATTTCATTTTAGTTGGAAATCAGGCTTAATCACCTGTTCTTAAATAACTGAAGTGACTTAAGATATGATGATTATGTGGCCTGTTTCCTTCATTTTACATGTGAGAAAGCAGGGCTAATAAGGTTACCTGATTTGCCCAAGAACAGCAGGACTCAGGGTCCATATTTTCTGACTCCTACTTAGGTCTTGCTCGTTGTCATTTAATTAAGCTTGTTGTAAATGAACTGGCCTGTGTGGAAATGCGCCAGTCTGCACATATACCTTAATACATAAAATAAATTCCCGGTGGCTACTGTGTCATAGCATGGGACCTTTTGGTTAAATCACAGTTCTGTTTTCTTGCACACCCTAATCCCAAGTCTTTTTAATCTCTTCTTCTCAGCAGTGTTTTTATGAGATTTTATTATACTTAAAATTTTAAACATTATATTAGCTATTTAATGGATGACACATGATATTCTCTTGTATAATTACCTTTCTTGTTTTTAGTTTGAGCATTTTAAAAAGCAACTACCGCTTCTCAGTGTGTGGGGGTGATTACTTGGCTTTGGTTAGAATTCTCTGGTGATTGTGTGTGCGCCATGAAACCTGAGTTAATGCACTCATGATTACAGGACCAGGGTGCTGAGGGGCAGGAAAGTCCTTTAATGAGAAGCCTGAGTGCATTAGTGTGAGGTATGAGATTATTTTACTGAAACATCTGCCTTGCAAATACTAAACTTGCATATAGTATAAATCAGTAGTGTTCAAATTTTTGCCATATTCTTTCTCTTCAGACAATTTTATATTGAAATATGAAGTGTAGAATAGTTCATGAGAATATGCTATGTCCCACCCATAGCCTCATCAAGTCTGAGGAGTGCCAGGGAGCAAGCACAGTTTGAAAACATCGTCCTATTATTACAGGTCGAGTTTGTTTTTGTATTTCATTTTGTGTTAAGTCTTTTTAGCATAGGAACCTGCTTCCTGTGGTTAGCTTCTTTTTCCTGGTTCTGCTGTGAGTGGAGGAGTATGGTCTTCATTGTTCCAATTCTGCCAGCTCTCTGGGGCCTTCCACTGGGAGTGACTGAGTCTCAGTCAGTTTGACCTTTCTTTTTAAGCTCCCAAACTATGTGTTAGCACATTTGTCAGATACTCTGAGGGTGCATACTTCATATGGGTTGAAACTTTGTTTCGCTTTACATTCATTGTCAATATTAGAGTGCTTATTCAACTAAAATAAAGCTTGATTGCAATTTTATCTCTCATTTTTTTTCATTTCCCTTGTGTTTTATGTCTTCCCTCAATTTATCCTTCCTAGAAAACGTGCATGACTCCAGTTTCTGATACAGATTAGGCCTTTTTTTTTAACCTTGGTGTTATTTACAAGTTTGGTTTGCAGCACTACAGAATTCTTCTAAAATATTTTTACTTGGCTGTCTAACCAAAACACACGTTTCGGACTACCTCCCGCTGCTGTAGGCACTATGTTATTAGAAAATACATTCTCGATCTTCAGAAGCTAAAAAAGTAATAGCTTAACTCTCAGTATCCATAGTAAAAAAACAATCTGGACCTTGTAGGAGAAAGGGCAAGAAGTCATGTACATATTTTCATACCTGTTTAATTCCTTCTCTGAGCTCATGCTGTCTTGGTGAATGGTTGGAAAGTTTAGGTAGTGAAGGTGGGTTGAAGGGAATTTTAATTTTGATACATAAGGATGATTTTTTGCTTAATGGTGGAATAACAGGCAAACACAGCTCAGTTTTTCCTTAGCGTGTAATCACATCCTTTGTTGCCTTGAATCACTTTTGAATATGGAAGAATTTAGATGTTTGAATGGATAGGCAATGGCTATACCAGTGTTAGATACTGTTTTTCTAATATAGAGGGTGACTGGAACTGTCAACACATTTGATGTGCAGAATTGTTTCATATAAAGAAAGTGCTATTACTACAAGCTAGAGAAAAGGTTTGGAATAGAAATTAATGTAGTGATGATTTTGTTGTATCTTCATTTTTGTAAAATTCCCCAAAATCTGGTTACAACTGTCAGTGTAAATTCATTGTCAGTTGGTAGAAATAGAACATGGTTTAGAAAACTTAGATACAAAGTTTTGTTTTAGACATAACTTGAATGGCCTGGGCTGTAAGACAGAGCAAGAACTAAACTAAGACTCCTCAAAGTAGGTGAGTATTTTACTTGCAATGAATGTGTGTCTGATCCATTGTATAGAATGTAAACTCATAAAAATCAGAGTATATTTTCAGAGTACAGTACATGGAAAGCTCAGTATGTAAGGAAACCGTCTTTTGGTAAAGTGAAGCTCCTTTTGATTTCGAAATTTGGATTTTGAAATTAGGATCTATTTTTTGTAAACATAGTAGAAAATGTAGATACAGTTAGTTCCTTTGTGTTAAAGATAAGCGGTGAAATTTGAAGCTGTTAGAAATTAATCCCTGAGAGATACTCCTTAAAGAAGATCTTTTAAAAATATGCTTTCAGATAATGTTTCTGGCCATATATCTGTAGATAGATAAATAGATGAGCAGGGATAATTAGGAGTATATAACTGATGTAGTGGTTTGGGCTTCAGATTAAAAGAATTTCTGGTCTAACAGTACTATAGGGTATTGGGCTTTAATTTCTTTTACTAGGTGTCTCTGAGGATGTCTGATTTGAGACCTTCAGTATTTAAATTGGCTGTCTTATGTTATATCAGTCTCCATGGACTTAGTTACATAAGCCTAAAAGTTCTGCTGGGTGACATGGCTCTTGTTAGGAGTGGGACAAGCTCTTAACACCCTGTGTGTGATCAGTGTTGATCATAGAGAGCATCTTGAAAGTCTGTATCACCCCAGCATGTTGTCAGTGGGGTGGGAGAAGCAAGCATGATCATAGGCATTTCCTCTGTTCATTGCCCCTCCGCCTTCTTCAGGTGTAGTTTCACTCTGCTTACCCTGAGTTATAGCTCCATTGAGGAGAAGGGTGGGAGACTAGGGTTAGGGTTCTGCCTCAGGTTTTAAGTGCCTCTACTTCTGTGGGGAGGGTGGGGAGCAGGTGAGAGATAATACTGTAGGAAGAGAGATCACAGGCAGTTGAGACCAACTGTTAAGGGAAGGAAAGTTTAATAAAGAATAAAGTAATAAATGGTCTAATTTTAGGATTTTGATTCTAATACTTGAATTTTATCAGTAATCTTGATAAAACTAACGTAGTCTGATAATAAGTCTATTTAAGTAAATGAAAATTGAGCTGTTGTAACTAGTATGTTCTTTACCATCATAATTTAGTAGTTTTAGCCTTTTGGATACAGTTTAGGCACTTGGTAGAATGACTAAATATCTGCTGATATAATTATATAAAGGCCATAGTAAGTAACATTATGTAGTTCGATTTTGACTGTATGTTTTCCTGTATTCACAGTTGACTCGGCATTTTAAATTGGTTTTTTGTAAACCAACACAGTCATTTCTTACATGGTGGTTACTTTTTTAAAAAATGTTTTGTGTAGTGCCCTTTGAGAAAATTAAAATGTCAAAAAAACCTCCTGAAAACTATTTTCAGTCTGTTATTTATTAATTTCTTCCAAAATAATTAAAATATGATATCCTTAATGTATATCTTAGGTTTAAAGCTCAAGATGTGTTTAGAAATATTTCCTGGGTCCGGCCAAGTGACTCAATTGGTTAAGAGTTAGCGAGTTAGCTTAAGAGCGCGAGCTCTGAACAACAGGACCACCGGTTCAATTCCCACATGGGCCAGTGACACTGCGCCTGAGCTGAGTTACCACTGAACTGCCAACAGGTGGCAGGATGGCTCAGCTTGTGAGACCATGTGCTCCTAACAACAAGACTGCCTGTTCGATGGTGGGATATGCCCTCCTACAACTAAGACTGAACTCGGCACCTTGAGCTGAGCTGCCACCCGGATGGCTCAGGGGATAGAGTACGCACTCTTAACAACAAGGCTGCTGGGTTCAACTCCCACATGGGATGGTGGCTAGGCCCACCTGCAACTAAGACTGAACTCAGAAGCTACCGCCCAAATGGCTCAGTGGATAGAGCATGCACTGTTAACAACAGGCTGGTGGTTCGACTCCCACATGGGATAGTGGCTACGCCCACCTGCAACTAAGATTGTATGTAACACAGCACTTTGAGCTTAGAGGCCACAAGCTGCCGACAAGCAGCCAGATGGCGACTGGCACCCTCCACAATTAAGATTGAAGAACAACAATTTGGCTGGTCCCCCTCCTCAATTCCCCAACACTTCCCCTCCCCCAATTCACCAATTAAAAGAAAAAAGAAAAAGAAATATTTCCTGATACTTAAGGAGACTGTTTTAAAGTGTGTATGTTAGTGTATATATATTGGTTGGCTATTTTAAAATTTGAATTGAAAATATTTTAAACAGTATAGTAACCATGTATATAAGTCAGTCTATTAGAAAGCAAAAATCAGTTTAAGACCACTTAATGAAGTTAGTTTTAGTTTTGAAGAAGTATAGAGGAAGTAGTGTTTCGGGGGTTGTCAGTTAAAGCGATAGTACCAGCTAGTATTACAGTAATCCTGGTGTTGCCTTGGTCTTGTCTGGTGATGTGTGATATGCAGTGAACTTTTGGAAGAAGATACATAGGATAGTTTCTGGCCTCATAGAGTTTGTATTCTCAAGTGGCCTTGACTCTATCACTCTTAAACACATAAAAATCATATAAATTATTTGTTACTCTTAAAGTTGAGGTTTTTTATTTTATAATTTTTCACATTTAATAGACCTAACGAGAATTTTAGAAATTGAGAATCATGATCCAGTTTACTTATTCTAGGAAAACTTAATATGTGAGATGGGATTTGAGAAAGTCTTGATGATTCTGTCAATTATTTGAGGGAGAATTGTGGTGAATATGAAAGTCATGATTAAAATATTGACTAATCCAACTCTGTGGTTGTAGTTTTGCTCATCCTACTCTATAGTTGTTTTTTTCTCATGTAGGATTGTTGGCCACTGATTTTTTAAATCTTGTATATGTGTCTTTTCATGGATGGAATGTTGTTGTTAAGAGTTTAAGTAAGATTATATTGTATTAGGACCACTAAGGCAGAAGGAGAAGGACTAAACTAGGAGAACAGATGATGTCTTGAAATACTGTCATTATTAAGAACATTGATTTTTTCATGAAGCTCATTTTCCCCAAGTATTGACCTCTTAAATTGCTGTTACTTTTTTGTTTCAGCATCAAAGCTGGACGACTCCTGTCCTACATCCCCTATCAGCTGTACAGCAAGCAGTCCACTGTGCAGAAAGGTCTCAGCTTCAATCCTGTATGCAAACCTGACGACCCTATCCCCGGTCCAAGCAATAGAGCCAAACAGCTCAACAGCAGGGTGTAAGTTTGTCTGGAGAGGGAAGGCCACAGAGCTGGGTGTTAGCAGTGGGTATGGCCCTGCTCTGCTGAGGAGGGAAACAAATATGAAACCTGGCCATTCATCTGTGTTAACAGGTTAAAATAGGTGTGTGGGCGTCATCCCTAAAAATTATTTTTATCATGAAAGTTCCATAAATAAAATGTAAACAGGGAAGCCTTTTCCATCGCTTTAGAGTCCCATGTTACACTAATGGACATTGAATTAGAGGTAAAATTTTTCATGGATTTTCCTGAAAGTAATTATTTCCACACAAGAAATTTGCTATAGAATGTTGCTTGCTTTCTCAAAAAATGAACTATGCCAACTATATTTTTATGTTCCATGCATAAAGATAGTTAACAAAAATGTTAACATTTCTAGTTTGTTTTTGAAAAATTCCAGATTTATAACAATTCTAAACATGTAAATATATCAATGAAAATTTAGTTGTTGACCCTCAATGTTACAGAGTTAGAGGTGGCTCTAGAGTTTATTCCATGTGACTGATTTTTAAAAATATATTGATTTAAGCTTTAATTGCAGTAATCCTGGGTAAATTGGTTTCACAATTAATTGGCGTGTTACCTTAATTTGTATATCAGGTGGCTCATTATCATCAGCCTTCCTCATTTATGAAATTGCTTGCTTTGGGAGTTGGATATATTTTTCCAAAACACCAGGAGTCTAACCTGGGAGGATCCAATATCACTACCTTCTGTAGTTTTTTTTGTTGTCATTTGTTCTTTAACTTGTATTCACTTATAAGCATATTCAAATGTTTTCACATTGCCTAAAACTTATAAATTTTTTAGTACCATGAAGGTGTACAAGTAATACCAGAAAACCTTTTTGATACTCAACTTTATGTTTTTTTTTTCTTTCCCACACTAATAAAGTAGAAAATAGAGTAGCCTCCCTTATCTGCATGGGATTGTATTCCAGGACCCCCAGTGGATAGTAGGGTTCAGTATTATCCACTCGGGGTCTTGGAATATAATGTATACTATGTTGAAAACATTATACTGTGTTTTTTCCTATACATATATACCTATGATGAAGTTTAATTTATAAATTAGGCACATTAAGAGATTAACAATAATGACAAATAATAAAATAAAACAATTGTAATTACTGGATTAAAAGTTATGTGAATAAGGTTTATCTCTCTCTCAAAATGCCTTATTGCACTGTCACCCTTCTTATGATTATGTGAGATGATAAAATGCCTAGGTAATGAGACTCCTCAGAAAGACACACAATTTAAAACTTATGAACTGTTTATTTCTGGAATTTTCCATTTAATATTTTCAGACTGCAGCTGATTACAAATAACTGAAACTGGAAAGTGAAACTGCAGATAAGGGGTGGGGGGGGACTACTGTATGTGTTTTTTAAATTCTTCTTTCTGTCAATTTTAGAAAGAATTTACCTATTAGATTTTACTTCTTGATACTCATACATTTATGCTATTGCCCAATAAATGTATATTTACCAATGATATATTTCCAGTACAGCTACTTTGTAAATATATCCCTTTGTCTAGGCTAAAAAACTATAGTACAGAAAGAATGTATATTTGCACTGTGTTTTCTCGCCAATATATGAATTTCTGTTGCATATGTGGGTATTATACATGTAAAGAATCCTAATATTTGTGACACAGAAAAATAGGTGTAAGACTTTTCTGATTTCATTTTTGTTGTTTTCTGTGACCCTTCTTTTTGGTATGTTCAGTACATTTCTGCAAATTTCTTTGAAATTTTTCATGTGATGTTTTTTGCTCCTTTTATCTTTATTTCAAGGGCCAGACTTTCTCTGACATGTAACAAATTAGATTTTCGTTCCTTCCTCTTAATTGCTTCCAGTTGGTCTTCTTTTTCCCTTTCACTGCGTGATCATCTGTGAGGATTGGACCTGCTCAGAGTTGGCTGTCATATTCCATGAGATGGTCAGCCAGAGCCAACCCAGAAATGGGTGGTAATGTTTTGCATCTGACTCGTGTGACTTATATGTGTATTCAGACTGTTATTACTAATATACTATGTTGGTATTAGGATGAGGGACTTTAGGTCAAACCTGGTAATACTGTGGTAATCTCACTTATGTCTTGGTATTGTGTATGGTACCCTCATCTGGAGCCTGAAATGGAATTGGATTAATGCTTTGGGTGTTTCTGAGAATGAATTAATGCTCTGTAATTCAGGTTTTTTCTTTTGTTACTTAGATGATTCTTGTGAATGCAAATGAATTATGTCTTTATTAGAGTACTACCATGCAAACCTCTAGAGGATCTAGAATATGAATTTAGCATAACATTTGCCATAGGTCCTGCATTTATAAACCTGAAATCAGGAAACTTGGTCCAGATTGCCTTGGACCTCCTTGGCATCTAAATATGCTTTTCTTAGAAATGAAATGCCATTTCCCTTGTTGTTAGGGCAAACGTCCTCATTTTTCTAGGTATAAATTTTACTGAATTCCCTATATACATTGACCTGGTTTTTATTTTTTATCTAGTTGTACAACAGTTGGCCCCATTATGCCCTCATAATGAATATATGTTAAATCAGCAATTTTTTCTTAACTACCTAGTACATGCCAGACCCTGTGCTACAAACTGGATATTTAGAGCTTACAAATTCCAATTAATTTTTAGTGGGAAAAATAATTGAAATAGTTCTTTGGATTTTTCTTATATAAAAGATTTCCATTGTATTTCTTCTTTGCAAGTGTCTGAAGTTTAAAAAAAAAACACTAAAAGGCTGTTAATGTTCTAGAATTTTCCCAGTTATTTTGCTACTTTGGTTTAGCAATGAATTATCTCAGAAGAAAAAAATATAAAATTTGTGGCTTCATTTTTTAGTTATTTTTGGGGAAATATCAAAGTGTGTATTACTAAGAGTGTTTAAATGAAAAATGGTTTTAGCTTGAAAGTCAGGCATTATTAATTTAAGAATTAATTCTTTTCCTGCTTTAGAAATCACATAATTAAGAAGATTGAGACAGAAAACGAAGTCAAAGTCAATGGAATGAACAATTGCAATGAAGAAGATGCAAATAATGAGTTTAGTTTTGTGGAGCTGGAGCAGATCCTTCCAGGAAGGAAACAAAACGGAATTCCGCATCACAGAGACAGCCCTGCCATTTTTAATGGACACACTCATAGCTCTAATGGTGCCTTAAAGACACAGGATTGCTTGGTGCCTGTGGGCAACAGTGTTGCCAGCAGGCTGTCCCCTGACTCTGCCCAGGAGGAGGGGAAGGCTGAGAAAAGCAGCACCGACTTCAGAGACTGCGGTGGGCAGCAGCTGCCACACAGCACCAGAGACATAGATGCTTTGCAGAATCCACACAGAACTAGTTCCTCCTTGTTGTCATCTTTGCACACTAACACTAAAATAAATGGTGCTCACCACTCCACTGTTCAGGGGCCTTCAAGCACAAAAAGCACTTCTTCAGTACCTGCTCTTAGCAAGGCAGCACCTTCAGTGCCATCCAAACCCTCCGACGGCAGTTTTATTTCAGACTTCTATTCTCACTCAAGACTGCATCACATATCAACGTGGAAGTGTGAATTGACTGAATTTGTCAATACCCTACAAAGACAAAGTAGTGGTATCTTTCCAGGAAGGGAAAAGTTAAAAAAAATGAAAACAGGCAGGTCTGCACTTGTTGTAACTGACACAGGTAGATACTTACTAAAGTTGTTTTCTTAAGAAACAGTCATGCTTGATCATTTCGTTCTTAAGCTATCATTGGTATTCGGATCGACACGAAGCTCTCATAATCTAAAACTCTTTAGGAATGTAAGATTATGTAAGTTACAATAAGTATAACGGATTATAGAAAGCTTTCTTATTTGTTAAAATACGTTTTACTTAATTAGATTTAAGTGTGGCTAATTGAAATTTCTTAAACAGTAACAGGCTTGGGATTCTTAACATTCATTCCTCATGTAGACCTTATAAGTTGAAGTTTTGAACTATGTAACATATAACGTGTATTATATTCAGTGCTTAAACTCCTGTAAGAATGAATTGGTTTGGTAAGAGTAACTGTTGATTTCACAAAGCTTGCATCTTAATGATTTTTAAGTGATTAAATAACTGACATAGGTGTTATCATTATAGTGGTAGAATTTTAGTCAGATTAAGTATTTTCATATATAAGTAGATTGGTTAATTGTGTTTTGTTTTTAATACTTGTCATCAAAAACAAAACCAACAGTTACAGGCTGTATTTCTGTGCCAGTCATTATAAATTAGTATCTGGTTTGAAATTTTAGTTCTTTTTACAGATTATACATTTTTTTTTTCCAGGGGAGAGATCTCAGAGAATCACTAACATTACCCTTTAATTTATAGCGGCGGAAACTGAGGTGCAGAGAGCAGCTCATGGTTCTGTCCTAGAAAGTGAGAGCCTCTCCATGTGGGCTTTTTCTGTCATGTTTTCCTGTGTTTGATGTGTTTCGAAATGCTTTTGTTATTTATGAAGTATTTCAGAATAATGTTGTAAGTATTAGATTTTCCTGACATCATGCCTTGGCCTTGTAACCTAAAGGTCATTTAATTTTGAGAGCTTCAAAGAACTCTTATGCATTAGTTCCATGAATGGGAATAAAATGAGAAAATTTTGTATTGTATGAAAGCATTCAGTAGGTATTTGGTATATGCATATTGTACTACTTAAATGTGTAAAGTCATTGTTTTGGGTTGTTTGCATTGTGTTTATGTAATATTTTATACAGCAGAACCATGATTGTGAAGATTTATTTTACTAATCATTTCTAAGATAATATAGAGGGGAGCAAGGAAGGGTGTGGCTTCGGAGTTAGGTAGCATAGCCTGAACCCCAATCCTGGCTCCGCCACTCTCATGCAGCAGGACTATGGGCAAGTCAGCACCTCTCTGAGTCTCAGTTTCCCTGGGCAGTGGCCTGAGCGGTAGTCAGTGGTGCTCCCCTGGTGGGGGCTGTGAGCTTAAGGAAGATGACATGAACCACACATATTGAGAACTAGGTAAATGCTTTCAGTTACAGGTTAGTAAATGGAGTAGTCTGAACCTTTTGGGGGAGTAAATATAAGTTTTTCAAAGCCTATTATGAAGAGTAACCTTCAGTACTAGTATCCTTAAATCTATCAGAGGAAAACTCCTTTATGAGATCAGAACTTTTTACAAGCTCAGGGTTCTTATTTCCAAGACTTGGGTATCTTGGAGGAACAGGGAAAAGGGAAAGGACGAGAGCAATGAGAAGAAAGCTCTGGTCGTGGCTAGATATGTGTTAAAATAACCTTGATAACTTTCCCTGTAGCTCAGGGCGATTAGAAGCCAGAGTCCTCAGGAGGGGACACTGACGTTTATCTCCCTAAAAGTGGTATCTCAGCTTCAAAGCTGATTTTTTTTTTTTTTTTTTTTTCTGAGCCATCCTGCTACCTGTTGGCAGCTCAGCGGCTGCTCAGCTCGGGCTGGACTCGAACCGCTGTTGCTCAG